CTATTAAGGTAATGTTTTTTTTTTTTTTTATCTTCGTGAAAAAATCTAAAAAATAGAAAAGAAAGTGTTTTAGCATTATTGCGGTAAAATTGAGGCATGTGTGTTTTTAATACGTCACTCAGGGAGACGTACCTTGGGACAATAAGGATTTCCGCTATATTTTGATCACAATGGGAGGCGTTGCGTCCGTCCTGCTGTTCCTCTACCTCAGAAATCCAGACCGAGAGATTACCTGGAAGGATTTTGTCCATCGCTACCTGGACAGAGGACTGGTGAGAACAATGTCTGTGGTTTACAGGAAAGAGTTATGGCTTCTGAATGCAGAATATAGCTTCTCAATAAGCTATAGACGTGTGTAGAATGTTGGCTGTGTTGTGTGTCTTTTGCTCAATAATGAACACATTTCAAAGGTCTTCAAGGGTCACACGGTGAAGTGCTGTTGTGTCATTTTTAGCACTGAAACACTCTTTTTTTTCTGCTTCTTTCAGGTTGACCAGTTAGAGGTGGTGAACAAACAGTTTGTGAGGGTCATCCTGGTCCCCGGGGCTGACAGCTCTGAAGCAGTGAGCTCCAATCATTCGTTGTGCAGAAGCTCATATCTTTGTGGAGTGGCACTGATATGTTGTTGTGTACCTTCAGAGCTACGTGTGGTTTAACATCGGCAGTGTGGACACGTTTGAGAGGAATCTGGAAGCTGCTCACTATGAGCTGGGTCTGGAGCCGTCCCATAGAGCAGCAGTGGTCTACACCTCCGAAAGTGACGGGTGACTCTTCTGTTTATACATTATTTTCATTTTACATACATACATAATACACTACTGTTCAAAAGTTTGGGGTAAGATTTTCTTGAATGCTCAGCAAGGCTGCATTTATTTGCTCAAAAATACTGTAAAAAATTGTGAAATATTATTACAATTTCTGTTTTCTATGTGAATGTGTTAAACTGTAATGTATTTCTGTGATGCGCAGCTGTATTTTCAGCATCATTACTCCAGTCTTCAGTGTCAC